TGCGTTCCTAGGGAGGATAGGGACAGGAGGTAGGTATTGGAATTTTTTTGAACTTTTGGAGATTATATTATGTTGTTGGGAATACTTCCACAGGCAATGAATTCCAGAGCCTAGTCGTTCTATGGATGAAGGAGTCTTGATAAAGTGCTGTTCGACATCTTTCGAGGTTGAGAACGTAAGGATGTGCTGACTGGGCTTGTCTAGTTCATCTGATTGGTATTGCTAGTGAAGGGATGATAGCAGAGATTTCCGAAGAACATTTCCCGTGGAAGTATCGATAGAAAAGTGAAAGGTCGCCGACCTTTCTACGGTGTTCCAATGATGTCAAAGAGTGAGTGAGTGTGCTTTTGTTTCGAAAAATAAGTCAATAATACCGTCTCCGAGAAAGAACTGCAAGTCCTTTATCTTCCATTCGACTTCGCGGTTACGTATATTACTGAACTACCACTAAATTCGCAATTTTTTGAAATCAAATCACAAAATTAGACTGACAGAAGTTACATCAGATATTTTATTACTTCAAAAGAATGATGAAGATGCCTACAACGCAGGTGTTCCTACTGTTAAAAAATTTCACGTAGATAATTGTCAGATTTTAAAATAATGTAATATCTTCTCAATATTGATTCGTCCTTTCTTCTGTCACAGAAAAAAATAGTGTATTATACACGGGAGAAATATTAGATTTTAGCTCACACAACCTGGAGCTAAAATCTACTACTTTTTTCCCTTGTGTAATAAATAACTATTTCTGCAACCGACACAAAAGTCGTCCATTTTCATACCAAGATTACTTAGCTCTTGAATTAACGTTTCAATTATACTGACACAAGAATAGGTATGTTGCTAGGCAACATATTTAGTTCCTAGGAGCTAAAGTTGAACCCTAGTTAATAGGAGCAACAGTTGAATTTCAGCTCAAAGAAACTGAAAAGGATGTACTAGACGTCATCAAGAATGAACAACATTGTTACGGTTGGTTATTTGGTTTGTGACGCATACCTGATTTGTTTCCAATTTCGGCAGATTTGGCATTTCATACCCATGCCATGTATTTTTGTTTTGATCAGGAAAGCCTTCAAGATTCACATACTTGCTTGATCTGTATTTCATTCGTTATTCTTGGGATGGATAACTTGTTTTTGAATAATCCAGGCAAGCAATAGTTTGTTGTCTCAAACAACGATATTGTTTACCTCTATTTGATTATTGACTAAAACACAGTGAAGTATGGAGAGGAATGAATAATCGCTATTATTATTGTTGATATGCTCAATAACCTAACATTTTCCACGTCTTGTTCATATACCTGGCACTGGCGCGGTATTTGCTATTAGAGCACCTGGTCAATACACAAATATGTCACTGTGTGGTTGTTTTTATGTCGAAAATACAATTCGAACATCCTTAGAAATTGAATAAACCTGCTATTAATGCAGGTATGATATTCTCACCACATGGATTTTGCATTGATTTTGATTTGTTGCATTGCATACATATAGCACGGCATTGGTGGTTACTTCACATTTGAATTAATTGTTTCGGTTGAAGGAAAAATAGCATGTTCCATTCGGTTCAAAAGTGACTTTGACTCGCAAATGCAAAATTCGCTTCTCAAGCGAAGTGTCACTTTTGATCCTGATGAAACAATCTACTATCATTATAATAATATGAGTAAATATATATAGAAGCAGAACCTCAGACTACTTAGTTGAAATGTCTGTTGACATGCATCATGTCATCAAATACTACAGGCACGAATTCAATACTACACACACTGGCACAATTAGGGGAACGGTTCGACATCGATTTTCTCTCGAACCCATCGCTCGATTTGAATTTTTTTTCATGAATTGTAGCTTTATTCTTCACGAATATATCTGAGGAATAACTACCTCCAAACGAATCGTCTTCATATCATTTACAGGGGTGTAAAGAAAGTTTCAAAGTGAAGGTGGATATTGGTATATCGATTTTACCACCTCGAAACTCGAATTGGGGATAAGAACGTGTCTTTTTCAACTTGTTTCTGTGAGGATTTTACTTCAAGATAAAAATTGTTCACAGTTTCACCTAACGATTCACTGTTTGAAGACACATAATATACGAATACCATTATGAATATGCAGTGGTGACAAAAGTTGCTTCAATGTTCTTTTGGTGAAATGCTATTTTTGTTGATCAACGTTGGCTATTCTGTTTATGTCATTAATTATTGTCAACGAGTCAATCGATTCACAATTCCAAATTCATAAATTTGAATAATAAAAATTCAACATGGGAGATTTGACTCCTACTGATGTGGCGAAGGGCTGTAGCATTACTTGAAAATTGTAGTTCGTACACTGATGTTGCTGACATGCTGGAAAAATCAAAATCTACGATTTATCGGAATGTGAGACGTTGAAGACAAACAGGAGAGTACGTGAGGAGACAAGGCCAAGGAAGAAAACGATCAACCACGGCTAGAGATGGCCGATTTTTTGTCTCCCAGACACTACGAAACAGACGTACAACCGTACCCCAATTGAGAAACGAACTGGAAGAAGTAAGTGGAAGACGAATAAGTCATCGAACTATCAGCAGAAGGCTTGAAGAAGTTGGTCTGAGGGCCTATAGAACGAAGAAAGCTCCACAACTCCAGCGACGTCATCGGGTGACAAGACTCAGATTCGCCAGGCAGCATATAAATTGGGAAAATGACCAGTGGGCAAACGTTCCTTTTACAGATGAGAGCCGCTTCTGCATCAATTCAATAGATGGCTAGTGTCTCCTATGGCGGAGGTTCAGTCATGCTTTGGGGTGGAATATGTTTAGGGGCAGGAACAGAGTTGGTAGTGGTTAATGGCGCTTCAAATGCAGATGGCTATATACGAGATGTTCTTCAACAGCATCTCATACCATTCGCCCCCCATATCGGTGAAAACTTCTTGTTAATGCACGATAATGCCCGCCCTCACGTGGCTTGTTCAGTCAAGAACTTCTCAAATACAGTCGGTATAAGAGCAAATGATTGGCCTGTATATTCGCCAGACCTCAATCCAATCGAATATGTATGGGACATGTTGGGTAGACGATTGAGGTCCAGAATTCCCGCTGTACAAAATCCCGAGCAAGTAGCAGCAATTTGGTTGAGATTTGGGATAATCTTCCCCAAGAAATGATCGATAATGTCATCGAAAGCATGAGCAGACGGATGACTGCTGTAATAATAGCGCGTGGAAGTCACACACGTTATTGAAATTATTGTTGGTGTTCTGAATCCGTATTGTTCGTTAAGTTGATGTTATTGTTATTGAATGAAGGCTTTGGAAATTTTTTTTCTTTTTGATCATATCTGTATATTTCTAAGAAATCCAGTAACAAAAGACTAATTAGTGATGATGAGAGCAAGATTCAACTTGAGAGGGAAATTATCTCAGAAACAACTTAGGAAACGACACATTCTCAGATCCAATTCGACTTTCGAGGTGGTAAAATTAATACCAATATCCATCTTTCCTTTGAAACTCTGTATTTTCTTGAATAATCGAGATATCAAGATGAATACAAAACGAAAATATTCGGAATAGATTGGGCTACATAATATGGTGTGGAGAAATCACTTCAATTATCAGTGGTTCACTCCACAGGATGTTTAAAAAAATACCTGAAAATCAGTACTGTATATGATGGAAAGACGAATCGTTTGAAGGTGGTTGATTCTCAGATGTATTCGTGAAGAATAAATCTACAATTCATGAGGAAGAAATTCGAATCGACCGATCGGTTCGAGAGAAAATTGATGTCAAACTTAGTGTAAATTTTGCCCGTTCCCCTAATTGTGCAGTGTGTGTATATACTCGAAACGTGGATGCCGTACCATTTGTATGCAATGCAACAAATTATCTGTCTGGTGGGAATATTTTACCTGCATTTACAGATCAGAATCATTCAATTTCCAACGATGTTCGAATTGTAGTTTCAATTTGAATTCAACCACAGAGTGACCCATTTATGAATGGACCAGATGTCAGCCGTAACACTCCTAACAGCAAATACCGCGGCGCCAGTGTCAGGTATAGGGAAAAGACGTGGAAAATTTTATATCTGTGAGCATTTATTTTTCACCGACTCCAATGTATTTGGCTCGAAGATCAACAAATGGAGGTAAATGATATCGTTGTGTGAGACAAAAAAGGATTGCTGGCCGTGATTATTCTAAAACAAGTTATTCATCCCGAGAATAACGAATGAAATACAGATCCAGCAAGTATGCGAATTTCGAAGGCTTCCCTGATCAAAACGAAAATATTGAATTATAATATGGTGTATTCAAATGTCCAGCATGGGTATGAAATGCCAAATCTGCCGAAATCGGAAACAAATCAGGAATGCGTCCCAACCCGAATAACCAACCCTAACGATGTTGTTTATTTTTGACGACCTAGTACATCCTTTTCAGTTTCTAGGAGCTAAAGGTCGACTTCAGCTCCTATAGGAACTGGAATTGTTGCCAAGCAACATAGCGTCTTTTGTGTCAGTAATAGAAACGTCAATTCAAGAGCTAATTTTGGTATCAAAATGGATGACATTTGTGTCGGTTGCAGAAAATAGTTATTTATGGTACTAGTGTGTTATGTTGAAAATAAGTCATGCGAGAAATATTTATACCACGAGGCCGTTAGGACGAATGGTATGAATTCTCAAGTGACTTAGGAAACATAACACAAGAGTAACATACAATATTTTATCCAACAAGTGGAAAAAATCGTTTTTTTATGAGATAATAATCAATGAGTTTTGTGATCAAATCGAAGCTACCTGCGTCTCAGTACCCTATAAATATCAGAATTACTTGACAGTGACTTTTTCACATTTTGGTTGAAGTAGGTTGTTTGTTAGGTTGCCACGGCATGATACTGTGATATATTGTCAGCAAATGTTCAAATAAATTTGGACACTTTTGTGTTTTCCCTGCAGAAAATGGAAACTTTCTTGAAAAAAAAAACGTATGGAAAATGGAAGAAACCGATGAAAATTACGTTCCTGAGGAAGCGGAAGAAGCAGCGATGCAGATTTTGCCAGAAAAGTCCCGAAATGCTTACGACAAGGAGTTCAAAATGTTTGAGTCTTGGATTAATTCACGGAAGATAGTAGGTATCGATGAAAACGTACTATCGGCTTATCTTTTACATTTGCAAAAAAATCGATGCTTCGTTCGACTATCCACCTCTATAAAACAATAGACATTCCGAAATATGGTAAACTAGCTTTTTAGCTTTTTGAGAAGCAAGTCAACGGGATACAAACCAAAGAAGTCCGAGACATTAGATCGACCTGAAAAAGTGAAGTTTTTGATCGAAGCTCCCGATGAAGTACTTGTTGATGAAAGTGGCTTTGATAATGGGGATTAGCGGTGCTTGTAGATGCGATGAATTGGTCAATCTGAAAATAAAAGGTATCAAGAAAATCAGAAATATTTTCACGTAGTTTCGCCAGACACTGAAACCAAGAAATTAAGGAGTTTCATCATACTTGGAGAAGGGTTTCCAGTCAACCCGATCAATTTGTGTGAAAAAGGCATGTCTTTGAGAACAAAGAATACTAGTTCTAGCCGCTTCTTTGTTTTTTACAAAAATGGGAGGTGTACCAGCCAGTATGTGGGAATAAATACGTTGTCGAAGATACATTCAAGAATTGCAGAGGTCTTCGGCGACTCTTTTGGCCAATGAAGGGGCTAACATGAATACTTCGAAGCGTCACGAAGGATGGAAGCCCTCGTCGGTAGTAAAAGGATACCTAGAAGAATCGTAGCAAAACAAAATACAAATTGCAGGAAAAATACAAGGTTCTAATGTGTCGGCATCTTCCAGCATTATCAGCAGCTGTACCGATATGGAAGCATCTGGTTCTAATAATCTATATAATTATGTTCATTAATACAAAAGTATGAAAGTAAGATGAAAAAAAAAACAATTGACAAAGTATATGAGTAGTATGAGTAGTAATCTCGATCATTTTGATCTATATTGTATTGAATAAACAAACAATCCCATAAAACCTCAGCAGGTTGTCATGGGATGTATGAAAAAAAAAATGAGTCTACTAGTATATGCCCTGTGCTATGATTATATATGTACGTTCCTTCATTTCTATGATACTAGCTACAATGTCAATGTCTAGGTCCAGCAAGTATACTTCAAATTTTTTCTTGATATATTCGATTGAATTGACCTCAAGAATATACATTTTATAAGTTCCTGGTAAGTAGTTGAAAATCCTATTAGCTAGGTATTGAAAATTTTGCTGGCCTATGGACTTTTCGGCTGCATTTGTTGTCACATAGTGTTTCGATTTTGTTCTAGTTAGATAGGGATGATTGATTCTCTGCAATGTATATTTGTTTTTATACAAATAAATGATCATACTGAATATGTTTAATTTTCTTGAATTCATTATTTTTGCATCAGTGGATGTACATTTTGAGAAGTAGGTCATTGGTTTTCCAAGCATTACTTTCAGAATTTTCTTCTGTAGTATATCTAGTTTCTGTATATGTGTATAATATGTGCCGCCCTAGCTAATTATTGCGTACTGTGAACGGGATTCGACGAGACGAAAATATACAACTCTCAAATATCTGATAGTCATGAGTTTATATAACTGTTTGAATTTGAATAATATTGTTCTAAATGTATTAGTTACATTACTAATATGTTCATCTCATTTGAGATTTGGGTCTATGGTATCTCCAAGATATTCAACACTATTAGCTCTCTTCATGGGGATAATTTCATTCTGGCTTTGGATGTCCAGAGTCTGGAAGTTTGGCAGTGAGCATTTACAACTTTTTTTTCTCATAATTTACTATCAATACTTTGAGATTGAACCAATCGATAATTCGCTCCAAATCTCTTTTTCGTCTTCAACTTCAGATCTGACCAAGTCGGCGCTGTATATATAGAATGGCAGTATCGTCTGCGAAACTATATATTTTTCATTTTGATGTTTGAAGTGAGAAGGTTGTTGACATAGAATGAAAACAAAAGTGGCCCTGATACCGTGCCTTGTGATACTCCACAAGTCACTTTCTTTCCAGTGCTGAGTGCATTTTCGGCTCCATAATGAACTAACGAATTTTACAATTACTTCAAATTCGAATAAACCGTCAGTTTTCCTTCAATTTCAATATCAATGAATATCCTGCTTGTGATAGTAATGAATAAATAGAATACTACTCAAAATATGAACGTGAGTTATGATCCATAAGTCACTAGTGATTTATGGATTATAACACACCAGTGTGTTATTTGATAGTCTACTTGTCTAAAATGACATTAACCCATTAGTGCATAATGTGTCTTATAATGGACGCTCCTTGTCTAATTTTTTGTGACGTCAATCATGCAGGAATTGAATGTTTCATGCGCCAGAACTATAAGTGTAGTTCAACAACAAACAGCTATCGCTTTTATTTCATGAATTTGTATCTTGACAATATTCTGCACGTGATCAAATGGATAACAATTTGTATTGCACTCGACAAGGAGGGGAGGTATTTATTATAACGAAGTATATGAATTTCAGAATTTCCTATCCCTCAAGATCTCATTATATGCATGTGTTCATGAACCTATAAGGTAATTCAAATAATTATTTTCTTTGTAAGACACTCAAAATATTGCTTTTGTGTTGTGTCCATTATAATGGACTCTATGCATATCGGTCATCAGGATTTTTTTGTAGATCATTCTTGCAACACCTCTTAGACATATGGAAAATGGCTCAGATATCGATCAATCAACAGATAATCATATATTATATTGCCTCCAGAAGAAAAGTGGGCAGAAATACAGTTATTCGAATTTAGAAACTGCGAATCCATAATAAATCATATTTCTAAAGGAATTATCAAACAGCAATAACGAAAGTCGCACACTTTCGTTATTCTGATCCTGATTTTGATGAAATTGAAAATGATATACATTTTTGCATCATGAAAAGGAATATTATAGCATCAAATGATTGTACGTTATACTGCAGCACGTCAACTATAGACACGACTCCATTCACTCGTTCAACTCCTCTTTTTCTTCAACGGGTTCACATTTCCTTCCACTGGATCGTGTGAGGAGCACCAAAAAAAGGGCTGGAAGTATTATCCCAAATAATTTCTTGATATGATGCATTTCCATATACCCATCAGCTGAATTCCATTCAGTAGAGTATACAAAATTGCAATTTTATTACTAAAATAGGACTGCATCTGATAGATGCTTCAAAATGTGTCAAGTCATCATGATGTATAATTTTCATTATTATTATCATTATTATTATTATTGATAATATTGTGATTGATGTTATTGAGTTTTTCATGTTCTGGATATGTACTTGAATAAAAATGAATACTGAAATTCCCTACTGATCACTTTCATCAATGAACCAATTTGCATGGAGTCCATTAAAATGGACGTGTCATATAAAAAAAATCTGTTGTAAAAAAAAATTATTCGTCATGAGTTATCATTCTTTGGGTATATTTGAATGAGTGAACATCTTCAGAATATAGAGATTTGAAAAAAAGTAACTTCATGCACTAATGGGTTAATAATGACAGTCATAACTGTCATGTGTTGGATGAACAATAGAATACCTCGTTCACTTGGTTGTTCTCCAGAATTAAAATGGCGCATTGTACGAGTTCTTCTCCTAATTTCAGAATGAAGAGGATCCCACAGCACCATCAGACGTACGACTCATCGACTGGCAAATATCCAAAACGGCCTCTCCAGCTCTGGACCTGGTTTATTTCTTCCTAGTGCATAGCCCGAAAGAAATCCTGTACGACTACGAAAGTTACCTGAAGGTATACTATGCAACTCTCAGCAAAAACCTGCGGGAGTTTTCTTGCGAAGCCGAGAAAGTATTTCCGTACAGTACTTTGCTGCAGCACTGGAATAAGAAAGCAAAAATCGGGCTTTACATGTCGTTCATGGTACTGAAGTTGATGCTGTGCGATTCTGAGGAAGCTCCAGATTTCAGTGAGATTAGTGATAGCGGCAAGGGTGTGTTGAGTTTTTTTGATTTTGCTACTAAAGCTACTGGCACTTTCGAAACGAGGATTAGAGATTTGGTGGAATTTTGTATAGCAAAGGGATATGTATGAATTGATTCATGTGAAAATTGGAGCAGAACTTAGATTTAGCCAGGTTGTGTACAAATAACTCTAGTTGATGAGCCTTCAGAAATGTTTATTTTCCCCTCCACCTCTATCTACAGTTCCATTCATGAAGTCGGTAACCTATAGCCGTAGATCTGGCGAAGAATTTTGAGGAGGTCCTTTTGGCAAGTTGAAATTGTCAAAAACATAATTTCGTAAAAATGGAAGAATTCAGTCTCGCAAGTCTGGTAGCATAATAATATAACATTCGAAAAATACCTCAAAAAACATTCTTTGGCATCTTGATTCCTTTTTAACCATCCAATTTAGTTTTTTTTCAATTTGAAATTTGAAATGGCAGACGTTTTTGTCGGTGATGAAGTATTACCAGTCCTCTTCAAAAATATTAACATTCTTTTGGCACTCGATTTTTTTTTAACTTCCAATTTGGTATTTGTTCAATTCGAAATAAAAAATCTCAGTTTTTGTTGTCGGGTATGAACTTTCACCAGACCTCTTCAAAAATATTACATTGAAATTCCAGGAAAATATAATTTTGATAATCTGAAATTTGAATCGCGTATTTATTAAGTAATTTCGATGAAACCTGCATATCAGACGTGAATGATGTTTTCTCGTAATATTTTGTGTGAGAACAATCGTAGCAGTGTGCAAAATCATCAAGTGTTTCTATATCTCTTTTGAAGATCTGAAATCCAATCATTTTTTGAGATTTATCATTTATCATTGATCACCCGAATTAAGAAAGAATCCTATAGGCCTCCCACCAGAATCGAATTTGTATGCGCATGCCCAGGGTTGCTTTGATTTTAAGTGATGGCAATAATGACTTCACACTCCACTTGGCCAAATATGAATAATCATACTTTTTTTCAGTTTTATTATTGTATTATATATTCAGGGTGTCCGGAGATGAAACCGACAAAACTTATGGGGTTATAGGGACGAATGTCCAAAACCGCTTCGTCACTGACATACAGAGTGATTTGTGGATTTTGACAAAAAATTCAATACGCCATATCAAATACAGAGATCAACCCGAGGATTAACCTCTTAGATTCAAATTTGTACACAAATCAAACTGAAAAGCACCAACAAGTAGGTCTTTGATCGAAACGATAATCAGGACCGGAATGATTGTCGCGTCCCTACGCTTTTTTTATGTTGTGTATGTCATATGTTTTGTCAAATTAACAAATTTGCAACATTCAAAATTATTTTTCGCGAAATAGCCTCAGACCTTACTTTTTACACAATCTGGCAACTTCTCGGAATTGGCACTGACCTTTCCAACGAAGAACTGAAGACGAGAACCAAAAAATTGGACAGTGTGTGTTTTTACCACGCCGAGTGATAAGGATACCTACCTATCTATACTAATTATATACTTATCCATCTCGTTACCGAACCTATAATAAACCTCGCGAAGTGCGTGAGTTTTTTTGTTTCTGTGGAGAACCTACCATAGATACGAACATCAAGATTACAGCACTTTGATCTCAGCCGGCCGGCCAGAAGAACGAAGATTTTGATCAGCCTGGATTATCACACCAAGGTAAGATCTGAGTGCTCGAAATTTTTCAACTCCGCGGTCTTCAATTAAGTACCTATTCAAAATACAGTCCACTGTTTCTTCTCAAGCTATTATTCTAATTATAAACCAATTCAACCAATATCCAACAATAATAATTTTTCCCTATGTTGAGTTATTTTGAGAATAACTCACCCTGTATATGAAAAATCAAGAATTTCAACTCAGATTCGGAATCTATTTTGAAAATTGTATGGGAATTTGTTGAAGAAACTTCTTGCACTATCTTAGTTATTCCGTAATTTTTTATTATTTCAATTGTTTTCATTCAAAAATCAATTATTGTCGAATAAAGTACCATCGAAATAAGTAATTTAATGAATATTTACGAAACCATGACATGAATGTCGTTATTTCATTATCTCAAAAACATTGGGATAGTGAATGAACACCAATAATACAAATGTTGATGACAGCTGAACAATAGTTCTCCATAAGGAAATTCTGAATTTGACAAAAGCCTACTGTATTCTTTGTACATGAACATTATAAGCTACTGATACGGATTTTTCATTTGGGAGTTAAGTCCAATTCTTGTTCTACAAAATTTCAATTTTTATCAGTGGATTTCAAATCTGCGATGAGATTATTGTTATTCTAGATCAGTTATTCTTACAGGAATATTATTACAAAAATCCTCATTTCAGTCCTGAACGGATTTATTCTTCACTTTTCACTACGATTAACAGACTGATTGAAGAAAATAACGACATTCATGACATGGTTATATTACCAATTTTGATGGTACTTTATCCGACAATAATTGATTTCTGAATGAAAATAATAATTTATTACGGAATAACTGGGATAGTGCCAGAAGATTCTACAACAAATTCCTATACGATTTCCACCGTTGATTTCGAATCTGAGTTCGAATTCTTGGTTATTATTATACAGGGTGAGTTTTTCCCACAATAACTCATTATTGGGAAAAAATATTATTCTGGTCCTGATATTGGATTCAATCAGAATGCTACTTGTTGATGCCTTCCAGTGTGATTCGTGTACCAAAATTGAATCAAATCGGTTGATCCGGACACCCTGTATATTGTGTACAGGATGATTCACGGTGGATGGCACATTAGACGTTTCTGGAGAACGCAACGTATGATTATACTGAACATTTGGTTTCTTGGTTAATCAGTTGTGTTCTATCGCCCTAAAATATTCTCGAAAGCGACGTTGCCTCTTATATTGAAAAGAAGCGACATCTTTGATTTTTTGAATTGGAAACCCTATACAGGTTGATTCACGGTGGGTGGCCTATCGGAAGTATCTGAAGAACGAAAAGACAGAACATTCTTGAAGATGGGATGCTTCGATAATAGAACATTCTCTATCCGTCTAAAATATTTTCATCGATACAGTGTTGCCACTCCTATCATAAACAACTAGCAACTTCGTTATTGCAAATGGAGCACCCTGTATTTTATTGCATTTTTAGATTTTTCCTGAAGAGCTGATTTTATCAATACATCACACTTGGGGTCTAGCAGGAATATTTACAGATTATAGGGTGTTCAACAAAATCGAGATTTTTCAATTTCAGGAGTTTTTTGTGTCTAAACTATTCATTATCGATCAAAACGGCTTACATGTCCCTATATCAACTTTCGATTCACTATCTACTGACATTTAATTGGAACAGATACAGGGTGATCAGAATTCTGAATCTTGAAGCACCCTGTATTATTTCCAATCAATTTCCAGTAGATATTGAATCAAAAGCTAAGATAGGGACACGTTAGCCGTTTTGATCGATAATGAATAGTATCGACACAAAAAATTCCTAAAATTGAAAATTCTCGATTTTGAACACCCTATATCTCTGTAATCATTTCTGCTAGACCCCATATGTGATTCATTGATGAAATCAGCTCTTCACAAAGAATCTGAAAGTGCAATAAAATATAGGGTGTTCCATTCGAAATAACATAGTTGCTAGTTGTTTCTGATAGAAGTGGCAACACTGTATCGATGTAAATATTTTAGACGGATAGAGAATGTTCAATCATCTAAGAAACCCAATTTTCAGGATGTTCTGTCTTTTCGTTCTCCAGATACTTCTAATAGGCCATCCACCGTGGATCAGCCTGTATATTATTCCATTTTCAGATTCTTCCTAGAGAGCTGATTCCATTGATCTACCACCCATGGGAACTAGCATGAATGACAAAAAATATATAGGGTGTGATAAATGAGATTTTTCAACTTTTAGAATTTTTTGTGTCGTAACTATTCATGGTCAAAAATCAAAATTCTGAAACACCCTTCATTCAGATTAAATATCTATTGGAAGTGAATCAAATGTTGAAAAGGGGACATAAAAACCATTTCGACCAATTGTGAATAGTTTCGACACAAAAAATTTCTAAAGCGGAAAAATCTCGATTTCTCACATCCTATAACTCTGTATTCATCACTGCTGGACCCCAAGTGCCGGAAGAATGAGCTCTTGAGGGAGAATCTGAAAATGGAATAATATACAGGGTGTCCCTTTCAAAAAATCAAAGTTGTTGGTACTTTTCAATATCAGTGGCAACGTCGCAACACTGAGAATATTTTTGGTCGATAGAAAACACAACTCATCATCCAAGGCACCAACTGTTTATAATAATCCTGGGTTGGGTTCTTCAGAAACGTCTAATGTGCCATCCACCGTGAATCTGCCTGTATACAGTCTGTCCAAGATAAGGTTGCACAGCATCAGGATTTGGTAACGGTAGGAGTCAACAGCCTTCGAAAATTTTCAACATTGTTTCCAGTTCTCCAGATATATCGAAAAAAGTGAATTTTTGGAATATCTATGATATTTTTTATCTCCGTTATTATTAGAGAAACAAAAAAACTGAAAAGCCTTCTCGATAGCAACTCTTGATGAAGAACATGATGATACCAATATTTTTATGCGACGTTTCGTTTTCGTTAAATCATCATCAACTTTTTGTATTTTTTATTCAACCATGTATTATACAAGGTGATTCGAATGAGTTTCGACCTATTTCTATCCATAATCAATGTTTTTTTGAAATTCTAAAGGAAAAGTGCCATCAGTTCCACTTATTCCTGATCATTTTGTGTCAAACATTGAGGATTAGTTATTCAATACTGAAGTGTGAACTAAAAATATTTCACAAAATTATTCAATGCAGCGCTCAAAATTGTTGCCGAATTCTCACACAAATTACTTGAATAACCCAACTTCGACAATACCAACAGGAACATTCATCACAAATCTCCAAAATAAAAACCACTATCTTCTAAACAAAGATATCCAGTTATCACAGTTGCTTCTAAGACAATACTGAGCATTTCTGGGGTTATACTATTGAATTCTCCGATGACACTGTCCCTTCTAGTTCTTCTTCATCTTCAAGAAAAAATCCAGCAGTGTCAAATCAGGCGACTGCGCCAGCCGAGGGACTGTAGAATGGGTACCAATCCATTTTTCTGGATAAAACCGCACGAACTTCTCTGGAATTATATGTTGAAACCAACAGTTCTGAACTCCCGCAATCGGTGAATTATACAGAGTTTCCTGGAGATGATTCTCAAGCAAATGGGCTTATATCACAAAAAAAAATTATTTCATAATTCGATAGAACTCACCCAAACTAGCTCACCACCGCAAACCGTTTCTTGCTGTGAGCTCCCTACGGTTTATAAGAAATTATTGTAATCCCCGAGACCTCTGGAAACGAGGCGATGATGTGACGTCCAAACCCTAATACTGAAACAAGACTATTCCAGACAGAGATAAATGATACATGATTTCTGACAGAGTGAATTAGCGCAAGATCACAGTTGAAGGGATTAATATATCAGTTGCCTCAGCCTCCGTCGGGCGTTTGGTATTTTCTTCAAACTATGGCGAGATGAGGTTTCTACGTCATAAGAGGGTTCGTTTTCAGAAGGTACTATCATTTTTGTCCAAAAATAAAACATTCCAGTTAATTTTTTGATCGAATTATGTCGTCAATCATCATTTATGTATAAAAGGATCATTATAAACATGGTTTGAGTTAAAAGTTCTACTAAGGTGTACACGCCCATTTCCATAACGTTTGGAAGTCAATGTTCAAAATTGAATAAAAGGACCAATATTTCGTGTACCAAATACTGCAACCCACATATCGTAGCCAA